TTCCTCTGCTGCCTGGCCTGCTGTGTCCCTCTAGCTCCATACTATGTTGTCTTAGACTCCAGCATCGGCAGTTCTTACTATCTCTGTCTCTAATGCTTGTTGTGTAATGAGAAGTCCATGTTTAAGTTGTCAAGTGAAAACATATATGGGAGAAGAAATGACTGCTTCCTGTTGAAATAAAAATCTTCTGTCTACTCATATCCTAAGAAAACTGTGCAGTAAATTTATCTTCACAGAGCGTGCTCTCTATCCCCTGATGTGATTTACTTTTGTTTTCTCTGCCACCATCATGCTGTTTCTTTTAAACAGAAAATAGTTAAAGATTGTAGGCTTGTGGAGTAATAATTTCCAGTTAGTATTTAAAATGAACATTCTGAACATAATCCATATTTATAGAGCTCATGAAGATTAATGTCAAGCTTTTTGATATGAGCTGTTATATTAAAATAAATTATTTTCTATCCAATCAAGCTACCGTTAGGAGAGAGAGTGAGAAGTCATTGGACAATGATATGTTCAACAAGGAGGAGGAACCACAGTCACCAGTGTCCAAATCAACTAAACCAGACCAGATTCCACTTAAGATTGTACCTGCCCCCCCTCCTAAAGAAAATGCCTGGACAAAGAGAACAGTTGGAGGTTCCAGTAGTAACCAGAGTGCTGAAGCAGAAGTCACAGCACCTCTCTCACCTGCTAGTGCGCTATCAAATAAACCACTTGGGTAAAGTTTGCAATTTCCAGAACAATTATGAACTATTCTAATAACGTTGAATTTTTGTATAGAACTTAAAAGATTTTAGACCAATTAAAGGTGGGTGTGTAACATTACAATATGGTTGGCTTCAGCTGTTGTTTGTGAGCAAATAGCCTCCTGACACTCATTATCGTGGTTGCATATGAAGAATGGCCACTTGGGAAATGTTAAAGAGCTGCTCTCATCCATTCACTTTCATCTGTGTGTGACTGTGCCTCCAGGAGAGATTTCTGTTGTTTGTGGTTTCCTTTGAAATGATGACTTGAGCTGCAACAGCTCAACTTGATATATCTTGAGGATGAAGGGTCCAGCAGGGCCCAAGACAAGGGGCTCCAGTAAGGCCCAATAGCCAGGGCACTAGGGCGCCTGCAGTGCTCAGGTCAGGGGTTTAGGCCAGGAGCAACACCGGGGCCTATCCTTTTTGTCTCTGACCCTAGGCTCCATATATAACTTTATTGTTGAGGGAAGGGATCGGAAGGAGGCTAAATTTCTCTTTCTCTTTTCTTGAAATTTAAACCATTGTACTGCCCTAATACGTTACTCTAAAGATATTAGCTATTTGAATAAATGTAGCAGGAGTGAAGGCATCCATTTTATATTCCTCCAATGCACTTTCTCCTCCTTTCTGTAGTATCCATTATGGTTTGAAGAATGTATGGTGAATACTGTCTTAAATTTACTGTTGTTTTGTAAAAACAAAATTAAAATTGTCCTGACGATCATCTTTTCACTTGCCTCTAATGCAGTTCGCCAAGTGGTAAAGCTGGCCTAGTTTCACCTACGCATACGAATATGAAGACCTCATTTAAGGGTATGGCAATAACTGGTATAATAGCGACCGGATTTTTGTAACTCTAGGCATCGAATCATTATGAATAATTGAGTTTTTTTTTTTCAAAGTGGATAATCCATTCACAACAGAAGTTGACTGGTTTCTGTGTTGAGTTGCCAATGCTGTGATTTTCTTTCTCTGATCTAGCAATTGATTTTCTCTGTGATGCAATGTCTGAGCCATATTCTTGAAAGCAGTTAACTGGGGGAATTGTTTTGGATTTTTTTTTTCCCCTTTTGGCCAAATTCTAATTAATTGTAAACTGTGAAGATGGGTGAACACTTTTCTTTTAATTTGCTTGTCCTTCTAAAAGAATAATCTTTCGGTGGATTCCAGACCCAAATGTATGTGAGAAAATCACTCAATACTTTTGTGATGGTGAATATTATAAGTTAGTGTGCTCTTGTTTAAAACCTGCCTATCCAGTTTACAAGAATCCTGAATGGGATATGGCATTCTCATCAGGTGATCGTTGCACCCACCTTGAATTTATTCCCATCAACACTTATAATGGCACTTGCTGACAATTTGAAATTTGTGTTCTTGGTATATTTTGGTCAAAGTAGAATAGGGAACTCCTCGAGAGAATATTGTACTAAAACATCTATTGAAAACAACCATCTTAACTTTCTGCTAACGTACTGGCCAGACCTGAACTGAGCTGCACGGTACGTGAATGCATCTAAATTTTTGTATTATTTTAGATGATAAAGCAGAATCTGAAATAAAAGATAAAACCTCACCCAAAGAGCGTGGTGGTGCAAGTGGTATGAGCCGGGGACAAAATGATGGCATCAACAAGGATCGAAGGAAGGAGCCAGACAGGTCTGTCTTTTTCAATTGCTGTGTTTCCAGATTTCTTATGATTTGAAGGATAGTTGTAACTTAATCTCATTTGTGCACAAGTCCCTAATGTCAAATATTTGTGGGAGCTAGCTTAATTTGGAAGCTTTGCTTTGTGGTTGTTTTACTGTATGGTATAATATCATCGGAAGTGCTGCTGCTGACATTTGTTCTTTGCATTGTAACATTGATGATTGGAACTAGAACCTTGCTAAATTCTGCTCTTGATTATAACTATATACTGTGCACCAGCAAAAGTCGGTTGATATTTTCTACATAAAATCAAGTCTTTCACAGTTCCTGGCGTGTTTGTTTCCAGTATATGATCATTAAATAGCAATTATGACTTTTCTTGCACAGGAAAGATAAAAAGGGCCGTGATTCAAAACCTGTAACTGAGCCAAAGAAATATGAAGAATCACCCACTCCTGTAAGTCACATAGATGGTGTTCTAATTGCAAAATAATTGCATGTCTGCAATGTAACATTCTCTGCCCTCTTTTCTTCATTAATGGGAAATGGGTGTCGCTGTCTCGGCCAACATTGATTGAACATCTCTTAATGCCCTGGGGACGGTGGTGGTGAACTGCCTTGAACCACATCAGTCTGTAAGGTGTAAAGACACCAATCGTGCCATTAGAAAGGGAGTTCCAGGATTTTGACCCAGCCTTTGAATTAACAGAAGTTAAAGATTTATGTTTTCAGATACTAATAACTGATAGTGTGATTTATGTCAGATGTTCAACATTCAAGGCTTAACAATGCCCTAGAAAGTTCGTAGATATAGTAGAGTCATTACAGCACAATGTAATCGTTCAGTTCTCTGGTCCATACCAGCTTAACTGACAATATCAGTTGATGTGAAGGTGATAGAGGTATTAGCTGAAGTAAAAGTTATGGGCAGGTTGTTCTGGAAAGGCTGGCTATTTTTGAATGGATAAGTAATCCGGTCTGGATGACTTGCATCCCAGTTTGCTAAAGGAAATGGGGATGGAAATAATGGAAGAGCTTGTCATGATCTTCACTCAAAATGAGAGAGTGGGAAATGTGATACCTTATTCAAGAGGGTGTAAGGATAGGTTCAGTTTAACATGAGTAGTGGGCAAGTGTTAGAACAATATTTGAGGAAATAATCAACGGGTACTTGAAAGATTTTGGAAACTTGGATTTAAGGTTGTTTAGGCAAGAGGTGCAGAGGAGAGAGTATTTTTTTTAAACACAGTAGCAATAACTTGGAGCTGACCGACGGTAGTGAAAGTTGAGATGACAAATGATTTTGCAAGGAAATTGGATGTGCGCTTGAGGGAAATAAACGTGCATGGTGGCCCGTTGTGTCAGCCGTCTCCAACAGTTGTTTACAGATTATTCATGTTTTAAAGCATTATAGCTTAAACTAATTTTTGCCATAGTCCCTGACATTGAGTAGTAGTAGGAATTAATTAATTAAGTTAATATTTAGTTTGATATTTAAGATGAGTCTGTTTCACTGTGGTATAATCTTAATATGTAGAGCAGTCCAGTCAGAAGTCATTTAGTAGCATTACCATAGTTTTTTTTTTAGGGCAGTTGCCCAGGGACAGATTTAAGGTCATTCCACCCATTCCTGTGTACTTCCTTTAGATCTCACCATCAGGTTCCAATTGCTATTATTTGCAAAGTCATCGCATGAGGAGTTTGCAATGCATTTATGTTTCCTGCTTCATCTGATCAGTTGGTCCTGGCAGCAATTGAACTCCCCTATGGGGGTTCCCTGTTTGGAAATGACACCACTTTAAACCATTAGTATGGTGTGTGAAAATACTTAATTTAAGATGGTGGATCAATTACTGCCTTGAAGGATGTTTTTCTTTCACACAGTGTAAACTATGCATGGCATAATGTGATCTATTCAACCTCCCAGGTCCTGCAGGGTTTTTTTGAGGCGAGTGGTTTACTAGTGTGTTGGGCGGCAAGTCAAAATGAATTGGTGTCAAGATACGCATCTTGGGCTTTACCCAACTGTGTATGAAATAGTTTATAAAAGTCATTGTGGCAACTGTTTAGAGGACATTTGGATTTAGTTACATAGTGTGGAAACAGGCCCTTCAGTCCAACTCATCTGTGCCAACCACGTATATTCTAAACTGATCTCGACCCATTTGCCAGCACTTGGTCCATATCAGTCTAAACCCTTCTTATTCATGTACCCATCCCAATGCCTTTTGTAATTGTACCAGCCTCCTCCTCCTACTCTGGCAGCTTGTTCCATACTCTCAGCACCCTCTTTGAAGAAGTTGCCCCTCGGGTCCCTTTTTTTTTTAAAATCTTTGCCCTCTCCTCTCAAACCTTTGCCCTCTAGTTTTGGGCTCCCATACCGTGGGTCAGAGATCTTGGTTATTCACCCTATCTGTGCCCTTTGTGATTATATAAATCTCTATAAGATCAGCCCTTGACAATCTAGGGAGTAATAGCCCCAGCCTATTCAGCCTCTCCCAATAGCTCAAACCCTCAGTCCCGGCAACATCGTTGTAAATTTTTTTTCTGAGCCCTTTCAAGTTTCGCAATATCTTTCCTATAGCAGTGAGACCAGAACTGAACGCAGTATTCTAAAAGTGGCCTCACCTGTGTTCTGTACAACACAACATGATGTCCCAACTCCTTTACTCAATGCAGTGATCAATGAAGGCAAATGTGTCAAACGTCATCTTCGCTATCCTGTCTACCTGTGACTCCACTTTCGAGAAACTGTGCACCCATACCCCAAGGTCTCTGTTCTGCAGCACACCCCAGGACCCTACCATTTTAAGTGTATAAGTCCTGCCCTAATATGCCTTATGAAAATACAACACCTCATGTTTATCTAAATTAAACTCCATCTGCCACTCTTCGGCCCGTTGGCCCATATGATCAAGATCTGTTGTGCTCCTTTGGTTTATTTTTTAAAAAGTCCTTGGAGACATAAACGTTTTTGCCAAATTTGTAGAAAGCCCTTCACGTAGATAGAACCGTTGCAAGTTGAGGAACAGAGTTGAAATTCATGTAGACCAGTTGAGATGACAGAATAATCGCATTATTGAAGAATGGAGGTCCACAGGAGGTGAAAAGTGATATGGAAACAGTTGAGTGTTGACAGTCTAAATGTCTGGGTCAGAATTCCTGTTTGGTGACACTTCTACTTTGTAGAATGTGTGAGCAATTGGGTGACAACAAGATCCGGCTAAGCTGTGATATCGCTCCTTAATCAAATAGGGGCAAAATTCAGTTTTGTGCCCTGTTGGACACGGTCCAGTGAAGTTTCACTGGGCTGGTAACGGTATGGAGGGATTGTCTTATAAGGACAAGTTGAGTTTGGGTCTGTGCTTCTTTGAATATAGAAGAATGGAAGGCCACCTTATTGAAACGTGCAAGATTCCTAGAGGATGACAGGGTAGAGAGAGGTTATTTTCCCCTTGTGGGAAAGTCTACAACCAGAGGGCACAGTCTCAAAGTTTGGGGTCATGCATTTAAGAGAGAGATGCAGAGGATTTTCTTCTGAGAGTTGTGAATCTGTGGAATTCTTTACTGCAAGGGCTGTCCATGTTGGGTCATTAACTCTACTCAAAGCTGAGATGTCCAGATTATTTTTAATTAGTATGGGATTCAAGGGCTATGGGGAAAAGGGTAAGAAAGTGGAATTAATATCAGCCATGATTTTAGTTATTGACAGCAGGCTTGTTGGGCTGAGTGACCTCCTCCTGTTTCTACATGATTTGGTCTTTTGTCCAGTCTTGTATGGAGGTTGGTTTGTTAGGTAAATTCTGAAAGTGCTGCAGATCGTTCCCTGGTGCAAATAAGTCTAGTCAGTCAGAGGAGGGAATTGTCCATTGCAGCTGTGTAATTATTCTCCTGTCTCATGTATTCATTCTGTCTTTGTGTAGAAATTCAGCTCAGCCAGCAAATATGCTGCTTTGATGATCGATGCAGATGAAGATGATGACAGTACAGACTAAAGTTCTAGTCGAGGAAAACACATCACTTTTCCCCTTTTCAGAGAACTGAAAGAATGAACTTCAATTAAAATGTGACCGTTAACAACCCATATGGCTTACATCTCCCGGAACTTTTTCTTGCATGCTGCTGCAGCCATTGAACATGAAACGTATGGAGATTTCATCATCCATTTTAAAAACATGTCAACCTCAGGCTTTTGAGAAAACATTGTGTGCAGTAGTTAGAATGGTATTTTACATTTGAATATTCCTTATTTTCTTTTGACTTAAGCAGGTAGAGTTTGGCAAAAAAATTTAATAGTGGAAGCAGTGGGCCATGGAATGAGAGAAATTATAACTGTTGGTGCACTTTTTAAGATAAAATAAAATGGGCTAGTGTGACTGGTGCAGATAGTTTTCACAATTTTGGTGCTCCTTCCAAAACTTCAGATGGTGTTTTTAAAAAAGAATAAGAATTGGAAAAAAAAATGAGATCTGGGCCGCAGTCAGCCAAATGTTGTTATTTCTCTTTTCTGATTTCTACCATGACATCCAAATTAGTCAACCTGTTACTGGAACTAATCTTGAGTTTCTACAACTGACGTTGCTGAATTCCCAACAATTTGTTTTGCTTTTCTCCCATAAATTTGGATGGGTTATGCTTTCCTTACTGTCAAATTGCTTGTATTTCTGTCATCAGGTGAGACTATTGTTGGGGCCAAATATGCACCTTGTACTTCCATCTGTAAACTAATATGCGTTGGGGTTAGTGGCCAATTGTGGTGTTTTGTTTCAGGATGTCTGTTTCTGAAAGCACTAATACTTAATTTTGACCAATATGCATGCATAGTGCCATTTTAAAAAAAAGTTAATGTCCTCACACAGGTTGAGATTGCAACAGACCATCATTACCAAAGTCAAGATATTATTTGCAGTCTAATTTTAACAATATTTAGTCAGTGCATCTTTGTTTTTTATAGTTTTTGAAAGTCATTCAAGTAAAATTTGAAACTGCAGATTCCAGGCTTACGCAGTTGTGGCATTGTTTTAGTTATACATATATGTATGAGCTAAGACTTACAAACTAATAACAGAATTTTATGTGCTGATCAAAATAAATTTTATATGAAAGTGAATTAGACAAGCACGTCAAATATGTTGAAAACACTGGGATTGGTTTTTATTCTGTTTCTGCTGCTTCCATGCGCTGATCTTTTAAGTGCATAAAATTCCCTAATTATATGTAAAAGGATATCTGGCTGCAGCCTTAAGTCCTAGACATTTGCAAGACAATGGGGGGGGGGGAAAATTGCTTTGACTTGCAAATGTCCAACATTAAAAGGCTGCTAGTTGTACCAGTATGGTTTCTACAGTCAAGACGGCATTGGTACTCTTGATACACTAATTCCAGTTTCCATACAGTAATTTAGAGCAATCTCAAAACTGCTTTCCCAGCAAATGAGTATATAGGACATTACCCTTAACTTTAGTACATCTGAAGCAGTCTTTACATAGGTTGTAATTGCAGGTACAGTTGAGTGCTGTTCCAAGTTGAGCATTGTAAGGATAACTTAACACTGTCTAAACTGCTGTACTTGACCTGAATGGAACACATTTCCTGCAAACCAGCGACCCTTCACAGTACAAAAAAATATGTATTTTAATTTTTTTTTTCAGTTTACTGAGATTAAAACACATTTGATTTATAAGGTAACAGAAATAGATTCCATTTCATAGTACTCAAATCCATCTGGTTTACAGCCAATGCTATTCATGAAGGTAATCACCTTTTTTTTTTGTCTGTACTTGACAACACATCCTAGCAGAGCTGAAAGGGCTTAAATTCTTATAGCTCATATTAGTGCAGCTCTGTCTTGCAAAACACAAGCATTTTGACAAAATTGCATTCTTTTCCTGAATTTTTAGATGATCAGATTCAGACTTTGGGGAAAAAAAGACATTTTATAGTGGGAAAATTAAATGCCTGTCTTGAATCATTTTGCTAACGTTATTTGGGGCATAAACTACAAATTTTAAAAATTGAGTCCTGCAATTAGATTCCAAGTTTGTTTTTCAGTTATGTTGGGTCTGTAGGTCATTGAAAACTGCCCTGAGTCTTTTGTTTTCCTCTTCAGGAAACAAAAATTGTATGATTCTATTTAGTTTGCCTTTCTACTAAACAAATCTTCAATGAGATTACTGTGGTCACATTGAAATGTGTGTGACTCGGGTCTAAACCAGTGATCAGGACTCTGTGCACTTGCTCTTCATAATGAGTCATTGACAACAAATCTAAGAAAATCAAAACCCACATATTGCTTGCCATTTGTTTGGCGATCCATTTGATATACAGTACTAATTTACCTAGTCACTAGCAGTTCAAACTGGACTCTTTAACTGCTTGTTAAAGCCCCCTTAATTTCTCACCCACTGCTTAACTGCTCTCAAGTAGCAGTGTTTTTCTCTTTTATCAGACTTAGTGTCATTTTATGGCTGCAGTGGTTTGTACTAATATTAAAGCAGTTTCATCTGGTAGGAATAGGTTTGTTGAGTTCATAATGTCAGCTGAAGTATTTTGATGGGCAAAAAATTGGAAATCTTTGTGTATAGTACATTTTAAAATTGGCTGAAAGAACTTAAATTTATAACTCTAGAATTCTTGGTTATACAGGTCCAAAAAGAAGTCTGTGTCTTGAGAAATTGAGTTTTAGACGCAGGTATTTATTGGTAAGACTCCTAAATGAGGCCCTTCCCTCCATTTTAAAAGAATTTAATGAATTAGTTTACACCACATCACCATTCAGAGGACTTATGTAAAATTTGTATAATACCTTCTATTAAAAAAAGATTTGTACTCTATAGTCTGCTTTCCAGGAGATGTCTTTTATTATCATGTATAATGCCCCATCAGTTTTCCTTCCAATAAACTAATCTTTGGAATACCTTCATTATTGCTGCTGTTTCATTTTTGTGGATTACACTTTTTAAAAATATAGTTGACTGTGACTCAAAATTCACAGTAAGGGTGAAAACAAAAATTTGCAAGCATTCTCTAACCCTCTACTCATCTTGGAATTTTGAACAGTGTATGGGATGGTGCAAGGTTTCAAGTTGGAGAGCTATTATGATTTGAGTTTACTTCCCAAAGTTTTCTTTTACCTGTTAATGTCACAAGACAATTTCAGTGTGCTGCCACAATCCCTATGACTTGAAATCTTTTGTTATCTGTAACACATTATAGCCCCCTTTTGGCTATACCTGAACACTTTCGGTAACAGGCAACCTGTTGAACTTCACAAAATACATCAAATTATTTCTAGAAATTAAGTGTTGGAACGTATGAAGAATCTGGGATTTTAGTGCTAAATCTCTTCAAACATGGTGATGCAAAAGACAAGTAAGATCTTGGGGCGTGGAGTACAAAATGAGATGGGTCAGGAGAGTCTAAATAGCTTGTAATGTATTTTGTCTCTATCAACAGAGCCAGCTTGCTTTTGGCTTGTATGGTATATTCTGTAAATGGAATTCCCCCATGGTACTGTGAACAAATCGTTAAGGAACACTCTCTCTTTTTGTGGTGCACCAACAGGGGGAGCTGATGACTGAGTGGTATTTTCATTGGACTGTTAATCCAGAGACCCAGATAACGTTCTGGAGACCTGAGTTCAAATCCTGCCATGGCAGATGGTAGAATTTGAATTCAATAAATATCTGGAATTAAGAATCTAATGATAATGACGAATCCATTGTCGATTGTTTGGGGGGAAAAACAACATCTGGTTCACTAATGTCCTTTAGGGAAGGAAACTGCCATCCTTGCCTGGTTTGGCCTACATGTGACTCCAGACCCACAGCAATGTGGTTGACTCTGAACTGCCCTCTAGGCAACTAGGGATGGGCAATAAAGGCTGCCTAGCCAGCAATCCTGTCATCCCATGAATGAATAAAGAAACAAAAATTCTGTAAATATTTTGGTAACTGCCCTCAACTGGTTTTGACAGTATAATTAAACCGAAGACTCTTCCCCAACTATATCAGTGCTGTTTCGGGTTGAGAGACACTTGTATGTCATGTATTACAAGGTTAAGCAGTCAAAGCTCGATGAAATCCTTAAAACTTGGACTTCCCCTAAGAGAACTTAGGTTGCTAAGTAATCAGCCTATCAAATCCTTCCAATCTTGAGTCTTGTATAAATATGTGCCCACTGTGCATTGATCCATCCTGGCATCTGAGCCAGAGTAACAACACTACCAACATGTGGAAAGTGCTGGGCGTGTATACCAGCTAAGCTTTGTATGTTGATTTAGATGACAAGTAATCCTCGACGATGTCCACCAACTGTAATCACAAAAGTCTGACTATGGCAACTAATGTTTTAATGAGAATTGTATACACCCTGTTTCAGCCATTAATGCATTACAATAGAACTGGAGAGCTAATACCATGATGGTTGGATTGCCGTGAGTACATATAAAAAATGCAATCACTGTATCGGGGAACTAGTCCTCTGGTACCAGGCAAATGACTTTCTTGATTCTTATTAATGTCCTCTGGTGCAGGCACATTTCCTAATGCTGCATTAAAATATTAGCATATTAAGAATACATAATTTTCACGACAGCACTTTTTAAGTTGAGCCAATGTGCTTGTTGAATGAATAATCCTGTCTTGTGTGAAATTTGTCTTCAGTATCAAATAGATAATCTTTTATATTATTTTAAAAGTATCATTAGGGTGCTAGATTGTTGTAAAAACCTGTGTGGTTTATTAATGGCCTTTAGGAAAGGAATCTGCTGACCTCACTTGGTCTGGCCTACTTTTGACTCCAAACACACAGCAATGTGGCTATCTTTTTAACTACACACCAGTCAAGTTATATCAAATTGATACAGAAAGGTATAATAGGAATAAACGTGCAGCGATCACCTGGCATCTATGTAGGAACTGTATTTGGATTGGATAATAGCATGTTCAATCTTGCCAAATTCTTCTCACTTAACATCTGGGGACTAGTGCTAAAATTGGGAGAGTTATCCCACAGCTTAGTTAAGCAAAAAGCTTGGAACAGTCATACTCCTCAAATCTTGCTTTTCAATCAACATTTAATACCATTGCTGGATCTGTCCTATGCACTAGATGGTAATATACAGAGGCCCTTGGAGGCCTCAATGTTGAATGTGGATACCATTAAATCTGAAGGCATCAGGTCAAATAAGGGTGTGGAAAATTCCTGCTAATTACCACCTATCATCCACCATCTCCCTACCAGTAGCTTTTTCAGATTGTATATGATGAAAAGTCACAGACCTGAAGGAAACTCTCTTTCTCTACGGGTGCTGCCAGACTTGATAAGTATTTCCTGCAGTTTTTGTTTTTTGATTGTTACTGAAGAATGTGTATACTACAGTAAACTTTTTTATCAAACAATGAGACCAGAAGTGTGCCGGTTGATCAACTGTTCCGGATAATCAAGAGGCTCACGTAATCGGTGTAAAAACACTCACCAGGTTATAGAAATGTAATGCAGGGGGTGTACATATTTACAGCACAACTCAAATAATAATGCAACCTTGTCTGAAATGAAACTTACTGGCAGCCTTCTCACACCCTCAACTGACTTGGGCATTGTGGTATTTGAGGAGAAATTGACTCAAAATTGAATCAACTGTTGATATTTCACGTGGCCATTTGTTGAACAAGTATATTTACAGTGAAGTAAATTTTAAAAACAATAGTTGGACAGAATAATACAATATAATAATAAACTCTGGTATTTGAGGTATAGTTTTTGCTGGTTTTTTGAGAATGCTGGTTTATAAGGTGCCAATTAAAACAAAGTTTGCTGTAATTAGAAATTGGAGACTAAACAAGTAGGACACTGAAGAACTCAGCAGTTCTGGCAACGTTTATGGAGAGAGAAAGGGTTAACATTTCGAGTCCAGCATGACATTTTGAACTGAAGAAGTCATACTGGACTCGAAATGTTAACTGTTTCTCTCTCCACAGATACTGCCAGACCTACTAACTTTTTTCCAGCATTGTTTGTTTTGGATTTCCAGCTTCCATAATATTTTGATTTTATGCAAGAACTTGAGCAAACTGGCACTGGGCAAAGTAATTCTAAGCAATTATGAAGCTGAAGAAAAGAAGTGGCAGTAATATGACTTGGAAAAGCAGCAGAATTTGCAATGAATACGGTCCTGGTGGAAAAGTTGGTCTATGATCATCCAAATCCACTTCAAAAAAATATGACAGATGACATAGCACAGGAAGAGGCCATTTGATCCATCATGTCAGCCTCATTTCCTTAAGTACTCCAAACCAATCACAGTGCTCTGTGCTCTCCTCATGGTTCTCTGTCTTTCACTTCAAATGTTTATCCAGTTGTTCCTTAAAAGATACAATGGTCTTTGCTTCAATTGCCTGCTCCAACTCCTCTCTCTTTAATTAATAGGGATGATCCCTCATCATTGACTCCCAACAATCTTTACTCATATCAAGCAATTACAATAATTATTTTTAAAACCCAAGTAAAGAATTGTCGAACCAGAGTTTCCAAGCTTTGTTGGCAAGCAGCATATGCATTTTGGCACCAGGTTTACTTTGAGCTTTCGATAGACGGGAGATGGACAGTAACTTTGATTGCAAGAATTGTTTTTGGAGAAATAGCACTGTTCCCACTATGAATTGTCTTTTTTCTTCGAACAAGTTACATGATTTAGCAATTCTGGAGTCAGAAATTATTTCCTGAAATAACCTGGATGTGTGATAACTTGCAGAGAGTCTGCCTAATTTTAAAAAAAGAGAAATGTTTTAGTTTTTGTGATGGCATTCATTCTGGCAACTGTTTGATTTGCAGCTCCCCACATGATGCTGTAGGATTCAGTGATAGTATATGCATTATTGTTGTTTCACAGTTTCCACATGACATGACATCTAGGCAGAGTTATTGTTGCATGACTGATCAGCACAGTATGCTTAGCAAAAGGGCTATATTGCCCATTGTCAGTCTACTATTCTTTACGAATTTAAAGTTTTGTGGGCTACTTTTGGTTTAAATAGGACATGTAATTAGTCTTTTTCTCTACCACAATGACAAGATAGAATTGAACATTATGCGCAAACAAAACTATTCTCAAGCAACCAGCAATTCTTCCAGCCAAAACACAATTTCCGTGGAACTTTAAATCTGCTATTGATGGTATTTTACTTAACAGCAGTAAAGAGTGGGAAATGCATCTCAATTATAACTATACCATTGGACAGTTATGCAGTCACAACAATGGTGGTGTGTTTTATGCATTTGTGCATGTAATGAATAAATTAAGTTTACAAAATTGGCTTTGTCTATGGCGAAATATGGAAAGCACAGTATGAATGAAGACAGAGACTGCAGAATTGGATAGGGAAAGGCAAGGCCAGATTCAGAGTCTGCAAATTTTGGCAGAATAGGAGTCAGAGATTGAATGTGGCCAGGAATGGAGATTCTGTGGTCTACGTACAGGAATCAATTCTAGTTGGCACTGGTTGATCCTTGGTCAATTATCCTGGCTGTGGGAGAGACCTTGTCTTCCAGCGGATGCCTGAGTTATACAACATCTTTAAGCAACAGAATTTGAAAGGTTGGAGCCTGCTGTTTGGCTAGCAGGTATCGGAGTTTAAACAGGGAGGTTTAATACCAGAGATGCAGGCTGCTGTTTGGGCAGACAGAATTCTCAGCTGAGAGCTGCAGTTCTCCTCCAATTCCTTCTCCTCCAACCACTGTACCATTATTTCTAGAGTCCCGTAGTGATTTATCATTATCTCTCTCTTATTTCTCACCTATATGTTGCCCTTCAATGACATCAGGTTCTGCTGATGACACCCAGCTCTACCTCAGTGCCACCTTTTGCCTTTTTCTGCTATGTCAACATTCATTCCAGGTTCTCTTGCACACTTCAGTGCTGTT